GGGGAGCTCGATTCCACCCGCACAGGACATTCCCTTCAAGCGACTGCATATTAGCGACGGCTCGTACGGGAGTCGATTCTCGCACGTTGCAGAGATGGACGTCGCAAATGCACACGACGAGGCGGAGCATATATACACTCCCCAAGAGCAATACCGGCCCGTATCCTACCCGAGCCAACCAACCCCGCCGGCTGCAACATATCCTCCCCGCGAGACCGCACAATCGCCGAATGGCGGCTCCCAGCACTCGTCGAATAATAGCGGGCGCAACAGCTATTTCAACAGCCATGCGCAAGAGGGCGAGCTGCAAGTCCCGCGCAGCACGGTTCCAAGACCCAACTCTGCATACACACTCGGCTCAGAGCTGAACATGCGAGGTCGCACAGAATCCCCGCGCCTCTCTGTGGTTGGAACCCCGTCGCCTAGCGGATCACCAAACCCTTACGCCCGCCCCGTATCAACGAGCCGCCGCTCCCCCGACTTTAGACCGGAGTCGTCTTACATCGATCTGACCAACCTCCCGTACAACCAGCAAATCGCTCCTGCGACAAACTTTGGCAATGCAGGTCTACGGGGCGTTGTGGGGCAGAATGCCTCCCTACTCGACGAGAAGAAGACGCTGGAAATGTACAGGGCAAACGTCAAGAAGACACAGGATACTGCCGTGCAATACGAGTTTGCGCTGTTCATGATACAAGTGGCCCGCGAGGTTCTGGCGACAGAGAATAGCGGTGTCGATCACGGCATGAACCCCACAGAGTTGCTGAAGGAAGCACGACAGATTCTCCAAAGGTTAGCCGACCGCAGCTATCCTTTCGCGCAGTACTACCTCGCCGATGGGTACGCGTCCGGTCTATTCAACAAGGACAAGCCGGACCACGATCGTGCATTTCCCCTCTTTGTAGCTGCTAGCAAGCACGGCCATGCTGAATCAGGGTTCCGTGCCGCACTTTGCTACGAGTTTGGCTGGGGCTGCCGCAAGGACTACGCTAAGGCGGTTCAGTTTTACCGTGCTGCTGCGTCTAAGAATCATCCTGGAGCTGCGACACGACTCGGAAAGGCTTGTTTGACAGGCGATATGGGTCTCCAGAACAAGTATAGAGAAGGATTGAAGTGGCTGAAGCGAGCCACCGAGTCGGCCGACTTCCAGTACAACATTGCGCCGTATGAGCTTGGTCTGCTGCACGAGACGGGCTTCGGAGACGATATTTTCAAGGACGAAGTGTACGCGGTGCAGCTGTTTACCCAGTCTGCCGAACTGGGTCACCCATTGGCCGCTTTGAAGCTGGGAGAAGCCTACGAACATGGCCTATTGCGCTGCCCTAAGGATGCTGCGCTTTCCGTTCACTACTACAACTGCGCTGCTCAGGCCGACATCCCAGAGGCCATGATGAACCTCTGCGCCTGGTACATGGTCGGTGCCGAACCTGTTCTTGAAAAGGATGAGAATGAGGCGTATGAATGGGCCAAGAAAGCTGCAGAGCATGGTAAGTTTGTCGATAATAGCGCGAAGTACATCTCGCTAATTCCATCAGGTCTTCCAAAAGCCGAGTATGCCTGTGGATACTTTACAGAAATGGGCATTGGCTGCCGGAGAGATCCTCTAGAAGCAAACGTCTGGTACGTCAAAGCTGCAGATTCCGGCGACGAGCGGGCAAAGCAGCGCCTCGCCATCATCCAAGCTGCGGCATCCGGGCAGTCGCACGTCCCAGCAAGCAACAACGTCACCGAGAAGGGAAAGCTCAAGAAAGAGAAGGGCAGCAAAGAGAAGGATGGTAAAGAGAAGGACGAAAACTGTGTGGTAATGTAGAATTGGGCGTGTTGTGCTGGCCCTTTGCGATTTCTTTTATACCCTACTCGCGTTTGTTGTTTTTGCTTCCCGCATGTACTCACGTTGGTCATTCCAACCATTCCACGTAAGCGTTGCGATAATCTTTCTAATATGGGGTTGTGCATATACGGCGTTTGTGGTGCATTGTCCTTTGCATACCGCCGCTTGGGACTGAGCGTTGAGGTCTTGTCAGCATACCTGGTGGAGGCAGGTCGGCACTATTGCATCGTTTCGTCATGTCATAGCATGTCTGATGGAGTTACATCTCGTAAAAGCTGAGGTGGACAAAGTGGGTAACTGCATGATGCATCGTAATGACTTTCTATAGCTCAGAGCTTGACTCAACTCAATCATAGACACAGACGACTACAAGCAGGTTGTTTCTGTTCAAAGGCTTTCTGTTCAGTATTTTGCACTGTATTTACTGCTATTGCAAGTTCATAGCCCTCGTTCCAACTAAAGATGAGTATTCCCTGGAGACGATGTTAGCTGGCACAGACTGCAGCCAACGGCAGCTGATTCCAGCATCAGATGTCAGTTCAGCACGGGTTTCGACGGCTTTGTTGCTCCGAACGCGTCTCGTGACAGCGCGGTTGCCATAAAAGCGCCGATTGGCCAATGTCTTGCAGCATCTTACGTAGCTTTACCTCACAACTATCCGTTCTTGTCCGGCCCTTGCGGTACTCTAGATATGCGGATTCCACGGTACGCGTTCGTAATAGATACGTATTGAATCAATCACGCAGTGATGCGCATCGCAGTGGATGTACATGTAAAGGGCGCATGGCTTGTGCTATATAAGGTGTCTGCATGGCCTTGGCAGGTGTTCCCGGTGGACTCGCTTGCTGCGCTTCCCCAGACCGTGGCTAGCCGCTACCCGAATGGGTAGGCATGATGCACGTTGGCGGCTGAGGGATCCACCTGCACGCCTTAGACTGACTACATATGTAGGGCGTGCGATAACCGATAGCTGATAGCTGATCCTGATCAAGTGAGGTTTAAAGGCTTGGACTCGAACATTCAAACTCTCTTCAATCAACTCATCCACACCTGGGCAGACTTCCAAGGTTGTCATCACTTTCTACGTTGCGCCCAAAGTCGAGTTAGAGAAACCGAAGAATCTGGGGACGAAGTGCAAAGAAGTTTTGAGATTGAACCGTAGACCAAGATGTCACCACCTTCAGCAGTCGAAGTCTCTGCGGTTTCGGATACGTCAGGAGTTACTATTCCAAACCCGTTGAGCGCGCCGGTTTTGAGCAATGAGATACTTGGAAGGAGGAAAAAGACGACTGCGGCTCAATGGGGTGTGGCAGCGCCATCGGACACGGCAAACTTCAGATTCAAGTCTCATGATCATAAGCCCAAAGCCAAGCGATGGAGTCGTAAGTTCTTACCGTTTTCAACCTGCACCTTCTCGACTTGGAGATCATGGCTGATTTAAACATTTAGATATCATGACCAAAGAAGCGACGATCCGGAAAGGCAACTCTCTCAAAGAAGCAGCGAAATATCTTGGCACACCCGGCATCATATCCCTCGGTGGCGGTTTACCATCTAGCGAGTATTTCCCCTTCGAAGAGTTATCGATCAAGGTCCCCAAGATTGGTCACTTCTCAGAAGCCGAGACTAGGGAGTCTGGTGTGACTATCACCGCGGGCAAACATGACCTCGCGGAGAACAAATCCAACTTCGACATTGCCACTGCGTTCAACTATGGCCAGGGATCTGGCTCAGCACAACTACTCCGCTTCATGACCGAGCACACTGAACTGATCCATGATCCGCCATACCAAGACTGGAAATGCACCATGACTATCGGAAGCACATCCGCCACCGACATGTGTCTGAGGATGTTCACTCGGCCAGGCGATATGATCCTATCCGAAGAATACACCTTCTCAGCCTTTGTTGAGACCGCCCGACCAATGGGCGTGCGCGTCTGCGGCGTCCCCATCGACAACGAAGGTCTCCTACCCGACGAGATGGACTCTCTTCTCACAAACTGGGACCAAACAGCTCGCGGCGCACGAAAACCCCATATCCTCTACACCGTCCCAACAGGCCAGAACCCGACAGGAGCAACGCAGAGCGCAGAGCGCCGGCACGCCCTCTACAAAGTCTGCCAAAAGCACGACATCCACATCCTAGAAGACGAACCCTACTACTTCCTCCAAATGCAACCCTATACCGGCACCAACGCGCCTTCCATCCCGCCACCAGCATCCCACGCCGACTTCATCAAATCTCTCGTGCCCAGCTACCTCTCCATCGACACAGACGGGCGGGTAATCCGTTTCGATTCCTTCTCCAAAGTAATCGCGCCCGGATCGCGAATCGGCTGGATCACCGCACCCGCCGAAGTCGTAGAACGGTATTCCAAACACGCAGATGTGTCGACTCAGAACCCCGCCGGAATGTCCCAACTCATCTTGTTCAAACTACTGGATGAACACTGGGGCCATGCAGGCTATCTCGACTGGCTCATTCACATGCGCATGCAATACACACACCGCCGCGATATCATCCTAGCCGCGTGCTCGAAATACCTCCCTACTGAAGTCATGAGCTGGAAACCTCCTATGGCGGGTATGTTCCATTGGATGCAGGTGGACTTTCGGAAACATCCTAGTTACCCTGCGAAGAGCATTGAGAGTATTGAAGAAGGTATCTTTATGCGCGTTATTGAACATGGGGCGCTGGTTATGAGGGGTAGTTGGTTCTATGCGGATGCGGAGGAAGAGCACAATACGCTGTTCTTTAGGGCGACGTATGCGGCGGCGCCAGGGGAGAAGATCGAGGAGGGGATTAGGAGGTTGGGCGAGGCGGTTAGGGAGGAGTTTGGGTTGGGGGATTATGCTAAGGATAAATGAGAGGTGGAGTGGGTGGTGAAATAGATTGAGTGTTGGGATGATCGCTTGTGGTCTTGCTCTTGTATTGATGGGGCAGTCGTTTTGTGATATAGCGGGACATTCCTTGCTGTATATATCCTACCATCAAATGCAGGACTATCCATGCCTCATCTGGTCCCTCTTATTCTTACACATGTCCAATTCCTAGACCTCTCTTTTGTAGGATTGCCAACCTATCGCACAGATGTCACTCCGCCTGGTATCCTCCTCTGTCGTATTCCTTTCCTCTGGTTTGTTCTTCGACGCCACAAATCTCCCGCTCAGTTGATGAAGTTGACGCAAAAGAAGTGCAGCAATAAACTGCCAAAGATGAAATCCGCAAACGCCCGCTCATGCGAGATATTCTCAAAGTGCACCTTGTTCTCCGAGTTTGTCTGGATGCGCAGCGAGGCTGTGAGGACGAATTGACCGACTGTTGCGCTGAAGCCGGAGAGGAAGGCGTTGAAAGGCTGTGTTTCCATGCACGTTAGCGAGCAATTCGTATATCATTTCTTCCAATCTCATTGTACTCTGGATCTAGGAACTGTGGAAATTGGACATGTGATGAAAGAATTGAGGACGTACAAAGTTTCCAACCAAGACCACGTAGAGGAATTGCAGAGCACCGACGATAACGAGGAAAGCGAGGAAGGTATCGAGCAGCTTGGTTCGCTGGGGCGTCTTGTCAACGTATTTGTTCCATATTCCTTGCGCAATGGCGGCGGCGTCTGTGTTGTTTGCTTTGCTTGAGCGAGCAGGTGCTGATGGGGTAGCTGTTGTAGTTGTGGTTGTAGCTGGGGCGCCGGTTGGGGCGGTGGTGCGCTGTTTCGGTGCCATTTTCGTGACGTCTCGAGGATGTGTGTCGAGTCTTTTGGTGTTGGAAGTGGAATTGGGAGATGACGCGCCGTGGTGATGCTGCTGCTGCTGCTGGATAGCTTGAGGCCAGATGTTCGTACATGGTCCGAGCTCTGGGGTACGACGACCGACCGCGTCGGCGGTTCGGTGTCCTTCGGGTGTCCGTTTGGATCCCCGCAAATCATGGCATGGACTTGGCCCAGCCTTCCTTCTCTCTCAGCATTCTACGAGAAACTTCCACATCCTCAGTTATTTCTTCCGGACCTCACGTATTCACGCGACTGCCCGAATTACATTTCACGAATCACACGACAAGATAACAGAACACGACGCGATAATGGTACGTCATCACCATTTGCTGCCACGCGCGAGTCATGGTGTAGAATGGATGCTAATTGGAGGTTCAGGGCTCTCTCGGAAACATCGCTCTCATCCTGGGTGCTCTCACTGCTGGTGGCGGTATCACCGGCTACGTGAGGACTGGATCTATCCCATCGGTCGTCGCTGGATGCACTGTCGGACTTCTGGTATGGCCTCACATCACATGCATCACCACCTTGCGCGCATCTAACAAACAATAGTACATGCTCGGTGGTTACCGTGTCAACAGCCGCGCAGCGTACGGTGTTGAGTTGGCTCTTCTTGCTTCCGTTATCCTCGCTGGCAGCTCTATTCCTCGAGCAATGAAGTCTGGCAAGCCGCTGCCTATCGGTTTGAGCATTCTCGCGACCTTTGGCCTGTGGACTTTTGGAAACGCGTACATGAATAAGGCTCGTGTATAAGCACTACCAGAAAGATGATACGAAAAGCAGGCAGCGCGTCGTGCGATGAAAAGTGTACCATAACTTACCATGTTGAAATACGAAGCTTGACTGGATGAGAAAACGGATCCTGCTGCGCGAATACTCCCTCTCGAGTTGCTAATCGACGTGTCGATCCACAAGCTGGATACTAAGTCAGGGTAGCTGATTATCTCAACGTCTAGATATCTCAACGTTCTAACAGGCTCCCCACACGTTTGAGTTCGCTAATGATCCCGGGCTATTTGGAAGAATGCAACACCATCCACACAATACCGACGAGGCAACAATAGAAGCTCCCCACCAATCTATATCCCGGCTCTGCGTCGCGTGCCAACTGCCGTCGCTTATCCAGGGTCTTGCGAGTCTTAGCGTCATTCAGTAACACTGCATGAGCGAGTACTGGATATCGCGAGTATTGTTCCGGGTCACAATGCGGTTCCAGCTCATCAAAATTGATAGGACCAAGTTTCATTGACCAATCGTACCACATCAACACCTGACTCTGACTATCAACCTGCCATTTCCATCAGTGTACTCAGGCTGAAACCTATCCGCGAGGCAGAGGCTACAAAGCGATCATCCTGGTGTACGCAGTCCGTCACATATCGTAATCCGGAGTACAGTGATTGGTGGTTCGATATGACCTCCCAAAGCCTTTCTCCAATATTTTCATCTAAGACATACCAGAGGAATAAAAGCAAATTACAGATTGACGAGATCGAATCATGTCCCCGCATGGCTCGTGGCTCGCTCTGTGGCCACGATAAATGTTGGAGTTGGCCGCATAAAGAGTTGGGAAAGGCCTACTGGGTGACAGTCAAGAACGTATAGCTACGCCCATCTATCCACAGATCCCGCCACTATGCGCTACACCCAGCTTATTGGCAGTGCTGCGGCACTTGCTGGTTATGGTGAGTTCAATGTCCGCCTTAGCCGTTGATACTGACAGAACGAAGCTTTTGCTCAAGAAGGTGAGGCACAGTCTACTGTTGTCTACGATGCAGAAACGAAGATCAGTTACTCGTCGTACACGGAGCCTGAAACAGGGATGACGTTTGGTGTTGCTCTTCCGAAGAACGTTACAGACCCGTATGATGCCATCGTCAGGATTACGGCGCCAATTGCCAATCAATGGGTCGGCTTCTCATGGGGTGGCAATATGGTCTGGAATCCATTGAGCGTTGCTTGGCCTAACGGTCAATCCGGGACGATATCTGCTCGCTTCGCTTTGTATGATGCATACCCAGGTGACGATGACGGTTCTAACATCCCACAGTGGTATTGCTTTACCGCTTGGATACGATGGCGCCGAGCACAGCTACCTCAAAGGCACAAAGACAAACGCTACACATTGGACTGTCAACGCACTGTGCAAAGGCTGCACTGGATGGCAAAACAACGAAGATGAAAGATACGCATTGAATGGCACCGGTACAACACAATTTGCCTGGGCCTACGGCGTCTCTTCGGTCGAGGACCCTGCCAGAAATGATTCTGCATTCAACGTCCACGCGGCCTGGGGAAAATGGATCCACAATCTGGACGCTGCACGCATCGAGAATTTTGATTCCTTGGTCAATGCTAACCTGCTGACGGCACCCATAGCAAGTCCTTCCGCTGACCCGACCACCGTCGTGACAAGCATCGTACCGTCTGCAACGTCAAAGCCAGCCGCGCCTGCTGCCATTCCAGCCTCGTGCTCCGGTGCCGGTAATCCCACATTCCAGGGAAGTCTTGCTTCTGGATGGAAGGCCACAAAAGTCGCCGGAGGCTTGACTGCCCCTCGTAGCATTCAATTCGACGGGGCAGGTAATATGTTGGTAGTCCAGTCTGGCAAAGGTATCTCGTACCATAAGATGGGTACGGATGGCTGCGTTACCTCTACCAAGATGCTGGTCTCGCAGAACAATCTGAACCACGGCATTGCAATGAGTCCTGACGGAAAGACGCTATACGCCAGTTCCATGACTCAAGCTTACTCCTGGCCATATGACGCTGCTGCTGGGACACTGGGAACGCGAACAACCATCATTACTGGCATGTACAACGGTGGCTCCCATTTGACCCGCACTCTTGCTCTCGCACCACAGAACCCAAATCTGCTGGTTGTCTCCCATGGCTCCAATGCCAACATTGACGCTGCTACGTCGGATCCCAAGACAGCGCGTGCCATCATCAAGGTCTTTGATCTGTCAAAAATCCCAAGCGGAGGCTATAACTACGTTTCTGGCGGATACAACGCTGGTTACGGGCAGCGTAACGACGTGGGAATCTGCTTCGACAAAAACAACATGTAAGCCTCACTTGTATGAGCGCGCATGACGATACTAACAATACTACAGGCTCTGGGGCGTAGAGAACAGCGGCGACGACTTCAAGCGCAACGGCAAAGACATCCACTTCAACAACCCTGGCGAGAAGATCCATTACATGGGAGACGTGACCAAGCCCAACAACAACTGGTACGGCTACCCGTCCTGTTTCACCGTCTGGCAGCCCAGCGACTTCACCGACAAGACCTTCAAAGTAGGCGATTGGTTCGTCCAACAGCCCAGCACCAACATGAACGACGATACCTGCGTCCAGACAGCCACAGCTCCCAAGCTCACGCTGTTCCCTCACTCCGCACCCATCGACTGCAAATTCGACGCCGACAGCACAACCATGTATGTGACCTACCACGGTAGTTGGAACCGCACACCCGTCACCGGATTCAAGCTCGTCGCTGTGAAGTTCAAGATCGGTGCAGACGGCAACTACACTCCGGTTGAGCCTCTTACTAGTACCACAGCGGCTCAGGACATCTTCTATAACCCGGCTGTGGAGAAGTGCCAGGGTAATGGACCGAGTTTCAGCTCTGGGTGCTTCAGGCCTGCGGGCTTGGCGTGGGATTCGCAGGGGAGATTGTTCATGACGAGTGATACATCGAGCAATGGGGAGGTTTGGGTGCTGGGTAAGTCGTAGAGGATGGGGTGGCACTCCCAAAACGTCATGCTAGAGAGTCGATGAGGAGCAGACGATATGTATATACAGTTGGTGCAGTCACACAGTCGTTTCTAGGTCGCCGTTTTCAGGCAAATGGGAGGTACCAGTTTACTCACTCCTTGCGAGCAAGGTGCAAAGTTCAAGATTTGCTTCGATCCCATCGTCCTTCAACACTTCGTCAGCGTCCCACTAACTCGAAATACGCGAACCATAGGTATACAGTGACTCACCCAAAGTATCAATCGCAAGCGAACTCATGAGGTAGCTACTAGCTCGTTGTTCTGGGTGTCGCACAACCATGGTTTGCGTACCGGGCACGTGGCAGGTATTTATCAGGAAGCGGCGTTGTATAAAGCACAGCAATATTTGACTTCTTTACCTACACCTACATTCCTCAGCTCGACTCACTAAATTCGACAACTGTTATACACCACCGCTACCCTTAAGACACTCGCAGCTTCCGACACCCACACACAGCCTCCAGCCATGTCTGATACGAACAATAACGCGCCATGCTACTTCATGGAGCTTCCGACTGAGTTGCGCCTCAAGATTTACCGCTACGTTCTTCCTGAGGTCGTTGAACCCAACTATCAATCCCAAGTTCATGCCGCTTCTATTCTACGAGTTAATCATAAGGTCAATCAAGAGGCTTCTTCTGTGTTGTATGGAGAGACTCAATTTCATGCGTACGTATCGCAAGACACCATCCAGCTACAAAATAAGCTATGGTGGCGGCGTACGGAGTTCAGAAGCCTCTCTATGATATTTTCGCCGTCAGCCAGATCCATCCGCCATCTTACCGTCCACGTCAATCTTCGGAAATGGTCCGATGCTCATTTTGATCTGCATGGAAGGGGCATCAGTGGTGATGAATACGAAGCCTATAAGGCGAGGGATAGCGTGCGGAAATTTATCGACTTCTTTAAATCAGGAAATACTTCGCTGAAGTGGCTGGAAGTTAGGCCCACTCTGGTAAACTACTGCGGATGGTCTGAGGAAGACATTATCGCGGCGGTCTTTGTGGTTATAGGACCTTTCGAAGCGCTGAGCAACATCAAAACAGCAACATTGGTGGCCCTAAATTACACAAATTGCGGTAGACTTGGTACCGAGCGTCACTCAGCCATCGCTAGCCTCCATACCAATCAGCTTTACGGTCGACTTCGAGAGGAGTGGCTCTCTTCCATCACAGAGTCCAAGCCAGCCCCGGGACCCACGGACAACGAGCAGGGAAAGATTGAGTACGGCGTTATCGAAGAAGTTCTTCGACTGATATATCGGGCAATGCCATATGCGGTGCGAGGTACTTACAGTTCGATCCATCGCCGCTTGGATGGCCTCGAGCTCCCGTTTCACTCCGCCCGCGTTGCCTACGAAAACGGCGATGTCGAGACTTTGGTAGCAATCAGAGAAGCCATCAGGGTGGAATGGGTCAAATTACAACCCTGGCTGTCGCGCGAAGCATCTGCCATCTCGCAGTCAATCTACGACGTGTTCAACACTAGAGATATCGCAGAACTGCCCGAGTCAAATCCACGCGTCGTGCCATCAGAGACTAAGAGGTCAAGTCCCGTTTCTACGATGGATGAGCTAATGGACTGGGACTGGTCGGCAGTTAAATGCGGGGTCCCCAAGCACGGTGAACCTGGCGTTACCATTAAGGAGGATAGTTGGAGGATCTACATCTACAAGGGCGATAAAATGTGGACGCGTCTGAAGACACCGCAGGCGATACGCGAAGCAAAGGAACGAGGCAGACGCGATGGCATACTTTGAAGGCACTTCAGATTGTGTGCGTTGGTAGCAACGAGGCATTACCGTGCATGTGAGCAGCTCGCTTATGATTGGCGGTTAGGACACGCGACGCAATACCACTTGTAGAATCATCTCGCATCAGATGAGAGATGAAGGATTGGGAAAGGAGTTGACGAGAAGCGAGAGAAAGAGAGGACACCGGACAGATACAGAGAGGTTTGCATGTTTAGTTACCA